AACATGAAGGATTTCTTTTCGAGCAAGCGCGATGTACACATTCTGTACGGAATCTTCCACGGGCGTGCTGGTTCTTGGAAATTGTCTAATGGCAAGTCCTTCGGGCTTGATGAAATTCTGGAGCAGTGGGATTTTGCCAAAGAACATGGAACAGCCCAACACCTTTTGATTGTTTCTGATGCCTGTGAATCTGGCAGAATGGTTGGTGAAGCTGCCCGCATGGGCCGAACAGACATAGCTGTGCAGACATCTTGTGACGGAACGAACCCTAGCTTTGATACGGTCGGGGAAACCTTCACAGTTGCTGTGGAAAGTCCTGGGGCACGGGCTGAACTGCCAGCGCGGCCAGCACATGTGCGATAAAAGGCCTTTCTCAGCTTTGGACCATGCTGCGCAGACTGCAGTAACTACTGCTGGATCCTTGTGGATCATGACCAGCCAAGCGTCGCCCCCTGAGCCCGACGAGTAACCCGACCCCCGCACAGTGCGTGCGGGAGATGCGAAAGTTGGTTTGCTGGCCTCATTAGCCCTGCTGGCGGCCCAACATCAAAGTGGATTTAAGTCTCCAATCCTGGCTCGGGGATGCTCGGGGCGTTCTTGTTGATATGTGTTGGCGATAAAATCGGTTTTCTTTGTGCGCGTGTTCTTTGACAGGTTTTTCGGATTCGAAAGCAATTTGTCAATTACGCACGGGTCGAAGGCAATGAGAGGATGGTTTTTGCATTTGGGATCTGAGAATCGCCCGTCGGGCATTCGTGCACTGGACGTTCATGTTCCTTGTCCTGGCAGGTGGGCTTCAAAGCTTTTCTCTCAGGATGCGCCGCCGATCCTTTTCATCATCTCGCAGCTCCAAATCAAGAAATGAAAATTGCCAAGAGTCCGAACCTGGAGAGAAACTCTGCGAGATACTCTGAGTGGATTCTTTCTTACTGTGGGCTCAAATTGTGTATGTCTTCCCACACTCCAGGATTCGTTGGTCTTTGCCTTGAAGCAGTGGGCCCAAGGTTGGGTGATTCTAAGTTTTACTGGACGTCTTGCAAGGTTCTATCGCCAATACCGCCGACCGGCAGGATATTGCAACGAAGCAGATCCGAGCGTTGCACAAAGGGTTGGCAGCGTGTAGAAGCCGTGCCGATTCGTTAGTTGACGCCATGTGAAGTATTTGAGTGAGAGAAAAGGTCGTCAGCCTTGCTTCATTTCACAGTTTTTCTGCTGACAATATTCACAGGACTGCATTTTTGACGCAACATGACGCAACTATAATATACAAATGTTCAACAAGATTTGTCATTTTCTGGGCAGTGGCTGTGTTTCTATAATGTTTCTGAGGCATTTCAAAATCCATCAAAATCTCACATGTCCGGTAATGTGCACCCCACTTAATATCACATGGTATTTTTTTTGTTTTTCCCTTTGCACCGTCTTGCAGCCACGGTTGTCAACCCAGGGAGCGTTTGCACCGTATATTATATATATGTATCCATATGTGATACCATGGCAAATCATATAGCCATATAGTTGCAATCACAGAAAAAGGGGGTTTCCAAAGTCATGGGGTTACCACCAAAAATCATCCAAATCATCGACCATTTCGGTGTTGAAACCCATGGTTTTGAGGCTACCCATGGGGAAACCTCCATTATGTCCCATGGTTTTCCGTCCTTTTTCCCACCATTTTCCCCGAGGTTGGGACAAAAGACTGTTTCCAGCAGGGGGTACGGAGGAGACCGTGGTGTTGCTCAGGCCGGATGTGCCACCAACGTGGCACCTGGATCCGGCAAAATCCACATTTTTTTTTGGATGTACATAAGATCAAACGGCATCTGTCACCACATTTCAATACTGCAAGTGGTTTGAACATGTTTGAAACCCATTGAGATTTCCATATTTTTTGGGCATTTTTTGTCCGTTTTCACTGGCCATGGCCAGACCCCCCAGTCGGTGATCCAGGCCCGGTCGCCCCAGCCGTGCGGAGATGAGCTCGCCCGAGACTCCGGGGCACGGTCGAAATTGGGCAGCGCCTCGGCAGCCATGTAGATATAGATGTCAAATATTGGATGATGTTAGTGATGTTAGTATCATAGATATAGTCTGATATAGTTCATATAATTAGTTAAGATGGCATTTCAGAAAGCCATCTTTTGGGGCTAAACACATTTTCTTTATACATGAATGCTGGGGTAAACAATTTTTGTTTATACATGAACGCTTAATAATATAAGGGCCATTCATAGAGTATATAATATATATATATATAGGCAGGTTAATCACAATACCAGTAGTACCGCACAAGGCGGTGGCGGAAGTTTCAAAAATAGGAAACCTATAGGAGAGATTGGTTGTTGTGAATCACGGATGGCAGAGCGAAGCCACTGATGGACCGACAGGTGGTTGAGGTCTCCTCTCTTCCTCTCTTTCTCTCTTTCTCTCTTCCTCTCTTTCTCTCTTTCTCTCTTTCTCTCTTTCTCTCTTTCTCTCTTTCTTTCTCTCTTTCTCTTCTCATCTATCTAGCTACCTAGCTACCTAGCTACCTAGCTACCTAGCTACCTAGCTACCTAGCTACCTAGCTACCTAGCTACCTAGCTACCTATCTATCTATCTGTCTGTCTGTTTGTCTGTCTGTCTGTCTGACTGTCTGTCTATCGATCTATCTATCTAGCTATCAATCTATCTCATCTGTCTATCTAACTATGTATCTATCTATCTCCCCATCTACCTATCTATCTACCTATCTACCTATCTATCTATCTCTCTATCTCTCTGTCTGTCTGTCTGTCTATCTATCTATCTACCTGTCTATCTGCAAGCTTGAAAGCGAAACTATTCTGCGAGACGTCCTCAGGTTTTGAACTTGACAACATCAAAAACGGAGCAATTCTATGAGACTTCCTGAATGTTTGAACTTGGCAGCGGCAACGTCAAAAACGAAGCAATTCTGCGAGATTTGACAACGTCAAAAACGAAGCAATTCTTCGAGACTTCCTCAATTTTTGAACTTAACAACGTCAAAAACGAAACAATTCTGCGAGACTTCTTCATTTTTGGAACTTGACAACATCCAAAACGAAGCAATTCTGCGAGACTTCTTCAATTTTTGAACTTGACAACATCAAAAACAAAGCAAGTCTGCGAGACTTGTTTCAAAAATAACAAGTTGAGTGCAGCGCTGACGGCCTCGTACCAATGCGTTTTGCAATTTTTCCACTCCACCTGTCTAAAGTACAGCGCCTGCCACGAAAAATTGATGCCAGGTCATACGAAGTGCTGCACCTGTCACGCAAAATCATCTTAGCAAACCTACAGATCTGATGCTCCAAAATGCAACCCGTCTCAGGAAATCAGCGCCTTGACCTCCTAACATCTCTGATGAACATGTCTTTTGTACTGCGCCTGCCACGCGATATGCATCTTTGCAGATCCTCTTCGAGCGTCCCACGCCTGCCATCGTTTTTGGAAATGCTACAAAACCCTCACGTTTTGCTCACTTTTGAAAAGGTGCACAATCCCCTGCGCCTGCCACGCGAAACGACATCTGAACGTCCAAAAGTGGTCCGGACTTGGTGTGTTTTGTACATTTTGACTTCGAAACGTGCTTCGCGCCACAATGGCGTGCACTTTTTCATTGCCAATCCAGACCACTGCAGATCTAACCCACGTTTTGGTGTTGCTGAACAATGTTTCGCGACTTTCCTACCTTTTTGCGCGCCCGGATCTTCTTTCTTCTGGGACTTTCTCTTTCTCCTTCTCTTCTCTTCTGTGACTCTGCCCATCTCTGCTTTTCATCTGTCCATATTGTCGGAAGTTTGATTTCTAAACTTCCTTCGGCTATGTTGATGATTTTGGCGGGGTTTGTCAAGCATTTGATCATCCATTAAACGATGGTTAGGATTGGGAGAATCATCTCCAACTGGCCGCTGAGGCTGGTGTTTTCTTTTGGTCCAGATCAAGTGGAAAGGATTGACAAATTGACCTTTTGGAAGATGACTTGTTCTATTTGTAGAAGCATGACTTTATTTTGGAAACATTAAACATTATTTTTCAACATTAGCGCAACAAGAGGGAGAAAACATGTCAACATTTCTATACTTCTACATCTATAATCAGATTTCATGTTTTCGTTGTCCACAGTTGTTTTGTTTTTAGAGGATCCCAAGTTCCGGTAAAACTCTCCCCATCTCCCAGCTGAGGTTGAGGGCAAACCTGGTGCAGCATTTAAGGTCACCTATAGCTCCAAAGACCGGAGCATCTCCTGTGAACATGCCTAGCTGAAAAGTGGGCAAGCCGACCAACTTTAAGGGTGAACGATGGGATCAACATGGAATCATCGTGTACGGTTGCCACCTGGAGCCTGCGAAGATGATGAAACATGAAGGTTTTGACATGTTTTGTTTCCGTCCTGTTTCTTCATTTCACCTCCCATCTCTTTGTGTCGAACATTGTTTGTCTTGGCAGCAGCTCATTTGACATGTAGCTGTATGTTGAAAGTTGCTGGCTCTAGAGGCTGTATTCTTGATGCTCTACTCTACCGTCGAAGATGTTGGTCCGGTGGGATGTTCGTTATGCAATTGTTGGGTACCCAACTACTTGACCGTTGGTTGGTGGTTTGGAACATTATTTTTCCAGTCAGTTGGGAATGTCATCATCCCAACTGACGAACTCCATCATTTTTCAGAGAGTTGAAACATGTTGAAACCACCAACCAGACCATCATGCACAGCATGGCGAAGACTTGCTCAGACTTGGACTTGATAGCTTCACTTGGGGTTTTGTATCAGCTTTTGCGTGTTGGTGTCAACCGCCCTGCTCTTAGGTGCAGCAGAAAACACAGTTCAAACTATAAAAACTTAGCGACGGACACAAAGGGAGTTCACTGATACATGTTTGGCAACTATCCCATTTTTGGCAACTATCCCATTTTTGGCAGCATGCAGTCCAATGTTGCTGCAGTTTCGCGGTATTAGTCAATATAGTTTGGGTATGTTTGGGTCCAAATGATTTCAGGCATCCACTGCGCTTAGCCATGGATTGCAATGATCTACAACGACAAATGGCAGATAGACGGCGCAGGCATTGGGTTTGTATGTTTCTTAAATGGGGCATGCCATCCGAAAAAAACATTTCAAGAGTCCAAATGATGATTAACCAATGGAGTCAGGGGGACTGTCCTCATACTGAGGCGCACACACGCACAGAGATTTCTCACATCATAGATGTTTGCTTGCGGATCCATCCGCAATTGAGTTTTGTTTGTTTATGAAGCAGGCCTGATTCCTGATGAGGATAAGTCCTGCCTTTGTTCCCGATTTCGATGGAAGTTCTTGGCTAGATGGGGGGGCTCACCCCCCACTAGAAGGCAAGGTTTCAAGATGTCGATGTGAAGGGTTGCCACTTTTTTTTGCTGTTGGCACACCGCCGATCCCTTTTTCTCCATCAGATCCTTTTTGTTTGGTCCCCACAGCAGATCAATGGAATGCCACATAGAGTTGTAGTGCTTTCCATACGTTTTCATTTTTGGCACCATACAGCAGTTATGGTGCGGTTTCTTCTAACAGGATTGTTCCGAACAGCGTGCATGTGTCCTATATTATATGTGTCCTTTGCATTCCTTTGTCCAATCTTGGGAATCAATGTGAGCAACCCACTCGAACCCACTCATCAGCTCAATTCTTAGGGGTACATCGCAACCATATTACGGTATGAAGGTGTGGTTCATGATTCTCCTCAATAAAGTTGCATGTAGTTGGGATGGCTCACTATTGGCTACTGGCTTTGCACCACCCTGGAGTGGGGCTGGTGCGGCATGGTGCGGCTTTACCCTCACCACAGGTGCTTCGACCGGACCACAGGAGGAGAGGCGGAAGCCGCTGTCCTCTCCAGACAGTAGCTGTACTGAAACATGGCAAGGGAAGATCTGTGGCAAAATCATCCATCACAGGGGTCGGAACTGCCAGCTTAGATTACCATCTGGTTATTTAACATAGCCATGGAAAATGACCCATTTATAGATGGTTTACCTATAAAAAATGGTGATTTTCCATAGCTATGTTAGTTTACCAGAGGGTATAAGCAGTTGTTTAATGTTATAAAAATGCATCAAGAAAGGGTTGTATACCTGAAACTTGGCACCAGCTCTGCTGGAGATACACAAAAATTGTCTCGTGGGGGGATCAGAAGCATTCCGCTTGAAACTGACTAGCCAGTGACGAGGACAACGGGCCGGCTAAAGAACTCACTCGGGGAAATTGGTTTCGATCAAGTTTTTTCTTGTCCGGTACATTTTGGAAGATGCAGATATTCAATGATATTCACTACTTGTTCAATCTATTATTCCGCGCTGGTTGGTAGTTTTAGTCGCACATTCTTTCATTTTTTGCCACCATTTTCCACGCTTTTCTGGACGCTCCAGGCACTCTGGTGGGTCTTCCCACCGCCGAACTGGCCGATGTCAGTTCAGATGATGCACCAGTCTGGATGTCCGAGGATGACCAGGTAGGCCTACCTTAGGGCAGGGTGGCCCCTGAAAGATGGGATTGTCTGGTGAATTCAATGGGAATATTTGGATCCAGCTTTGGAAAGTATGTGGAAATCTGAATTCTTTGAAGAATACCAAATGAACAAAAACAATCGATGTTTTTTTCATGTTTGAAGGCTGAGGTTTAGCGCGGAACCAGCCTTCACTCAACAACAGTACCTTCAGGACGTCTTCGGCATGAGCTCAGTTCGACCAGAGGTGAGGATGACGTTGTGCGACATGGTCACAGCAATTCTTGTCCCTTGGGCGGCTTTCGCAGCTAGGCAGAACTTGGGTGAAAGGTGCAAGGCCATGGTATGACGACGTGGAATGGTGGGGCAAATGGATCATATGGGTCTTTGTTTCTTTCCTCCGATGTTTGGATATGGGGGTAGATCATTTTGAGCCTCAGGATTGTCATTTCCTGTGACGGTCTTTTGTCAGAGGGGCCTGGCAATCATGTAGTTCCGAGTTTCCGACCTGATATGTGTGAGGCTGCGCACTCTCTCAAGCTGGTTTAGACATTTCATGACATTTCTTTGCGGGCCCCCGCTTGAACGATAGCTTGAGGTTTGGAAGTTTGAGCGATCCACCAATTTTTTCAATCGCTCCTTTCATCCCCAGATCCAATCGGGCTGTTAGGCTCTGAGTCTGGTGATCTTTATTTGCCTGTACCATGACCATGCAGTGCTGGTGTGGATTTTGCAGATCCTTTGCACCCTCCTGGCCCTTTGTACGGTGCTGACTGGTCACCGAGTTCGAGATGCAGCGTCTGGGATCTGAAATAGCACATGAAACGTGGTGGCGGATGTGGCAAATCTATGCAAATCTGTGAATGCTTGTTGATGTACGATATGCACTACTACCCATATCGGCGTATCGTTATCTATATTGTACGTGTATGTGTGGTGTGTGTGTGTGTGCGACGTGCTGATGTGATTTCGGTGTATGCATCTGATCATTTATCTGTTATTTGTTTATTATACACATGCACATGCATGCGTATATTAAAGTTCGGGATGAACCCAACAATTGCTTGGATGCAACTGTGAGTGCATTTCTAGATGCAGTGATTGGGAATGGCACCTTGCATTTCATTGCTGAAGAGTAAAGGCGATTCTCCTTGTACTGCTCCTTCGTTTACATTTCAACCACCTTCTGGTAATGAAGCATTATGTTATGATTCTCATGGATTTTCCATAGCGAGCTGTTCAAAGTATATACCAGAGGGTGGCAGCATCCTACTCCACGGACCCAAGCTCACGGAACCCCTTTCTGGTGCTGAGATGATCATCTCCCTGGGTTTTCTCAGCTTGGCCTCGATCGCCCTCGGTGCCGCAGCTGGGACCTGGTTGGAGGCCGAATATCTGCCGCTCGGAACCTGGTTGGGGGAGCTGGGGGGGCTGGTTGGTTGGGGCCACCCTGAAAGTTTGTGATGATTTTTGATGACTTCCAAACTTGAGATTATGTTTTTGAATGTTTTTGATGTGTCTCTTGATGGCTCAAACGGTTAACGCGAAATTTGGACGTTTTCGTCTGAAAAAATGAAGCCAAGCGCTCATTGATTTGGAAAAAACACATGCAAGGGCATGTCTTGCTCAACATTTGACCTTGAAAATCGAGAGAACTTCTTTTCTTATCTTCTCAAGCCAAGTTTCAGCCCAGCCACCTCGCGCATCCAGCGGAGCCTCCAACAATATCCACTGCAAACTCTGCCGAGGCAAAGGTTTTGGCAGCTCTACCGCGCCTCAAGTTACCAGTTCCTTAGCCCTTGTGACTGCTGCTGCAGCTTTTCCATGACCATATTTGACATTTCGGCCACTGAGCGAGTCGCAGATGGGCAAACTGTATTGTATTTTGCACATGTCCCAGTGGAAGGGCAGAAGTCATATGTGCTGCTGGGGTTGACGTACCTTGAACCATTTTTTTAAGTTAAGTTCTTCTTGAGCTCTTTTGGGGCACCGTTGATTTGAAAAAACAGATGGCACTAGCGAATACTTTTTCAAACTCGGATCTTGAGGCGGGCAGACCTATTGTAGACCCGTAGTTTCCCAAAGATCTTGAGCTTTTGAGGTTGATCCTCCCTAGTTCAGATCCCAGCAAGCTCCCCATGGATTCCTTCTTGAGGTGCGCGGTTGGCGTGCTGGGATGTGCTGGGCCTGGAGTTGGAGTTTGTGATTTTTCACCACTAAATCATAATGAATCGCTGCCAGAAAAAATGCTGGACCCCCAAATTTGGATGATTTAACATGTTGATATGAAATCTTGGATATAATTTAATTCACATACAGTGTATACAGTTATATATAGTTTTGCATGCCAAACGCGACCAAATATCTGGGCCCATTTGTTCTCCCAAAAGATTTATATAAGCGCCGCACGGATGAGGTTTTCGGATGGCACGGTGCTGGATGACTTCCATGCGCTGGGATACTTAGCCAAAGGCAACACCTACTGCGTGGCGCCCATTCGCTTAACTGGCAGCTCCAGTGAGCCTGTGCGCTACTGGGCCGTGGGCAAGAACTGCTGTGACAGGAGACTTGGTTCTTCACAACTATATTTTAGGAAACCTGGGCTTAACATGGCTTAGCCATAGAAAAATATAAACACATTGGGTCTTTCACTTGGTTCAACTGGGTTTAAGCATCAAGCATGGGGAAGTTCACCAAAGCTGAAGCTGGTACCAAGTTCCCTTCAGACTTGGGGAGCATGGCAAGTCGATCACCTCACCCCCAGTAAAGAATCCACATTGGCCGTTTTGTACAACGAGAGCCAGGCAGCTTGCTACATCCTTGAAATATCCTAAACCCGAAAGAAATCCTACATGTTTTGTGCCACGAATCTGGAGATTTTTGGAAACCGCTGCAGCTCCCAAAGAAATGATGCTGTTGGGAACTGTGCCAATATACCAGGCATTCCTGGCATCTTGCTGGAAAAACTCTGCTTCAACAGGTTGGTATCTTTTTCCCGTTACTTGTGGTTGCCGTTGTTTTTCCTTTTGTGGGTACAGCCATGGGATTCTGTTGGATATAGCCCCCATAACTATCGAAAACTATGCTGAAAGTGTATAAGCCCTCACAACTGGAACTGCGACCCCCCAAGTAGTCATGCTTGTTGGTGCGATTTTTCCCATCATTGTTGATCCACCACCACGAGGAGAGGGACCTTTAACTGCGGACCTCAACCGGAGCACGCCGCAGTTATCGCTGAACATTTGGATGAGACCTTTTTAAGAGTCCCACGGCGTGGGCGATGTTGGTTGATGATTTTTGCAGATTCATGCTGACTCAATGGTGATTTAACCATGACGAATAGGGATTTGAAGCATCAAATATGGGGATTTGTAATTGGTAAATGTTGGTAAAGGATGGATGGTTGCTTGGCAATGGGAATTCCCCATACCAAATGGAGGCTTATAGCTGGGAAAATGCCACAGGGTGTATTCTATCTTAATCGAGAATTGCTGTAGTAGAGGCTGGAGAAAGGGGAGCTTTGGATCTGGGGATATGATATATATATACTCTAATAATATATCCATGTTTTGCTATATTAGATGGAGAATTCTTAGATTAATTACTAACCAATCACAAAAAAGTGCAGGGGATCTAAGTTTGGCCATCACGATGACACATGGCAAAACAAGGGTGGGTCATATCCAACAGTTTCCCTGGCCATCACGATGACACATGGCAAAACAAGGGTGGGTCATATCCAACAGTTTCCCTGCACAAAACTACTGCGTCATTGTATGAGACAAGTGACTAAGTGGTGAGAAACCAAGCAACAAATTCGTTCAAGTTGTGAGCATCCATTGATGATAATCGTTTATCTAATCGTGGTACAACCATCAGGGATATTCACCAATTGAACAATTTATGGTCCATGATGAATAGTTGATGGATGGTAATTATCATACCATGGGATAATTGATGATAAAAAACACCCCCTTGATTCCATATGATTCCATGCATCTGGGGCGCCATGGCCTGCTCTAATTCCTAGATGCCAGAGACCGACAAACAAAAGTCCGTTGCCAATACTGATCATTAATTAACAACTCTCTCTCTCTCTCTCTCTCCCCCTCTCTCTCTCTCTCTAAATAAATAAATATATATATATATATGTATGTACATGTAAATATATATAATATATATATACACATGTACAAATAATATAGATATTATATTATATGTATAGAATCCTTGTTCCATATCCCTAACATTCCCCAACCATGTGGGAATTTGTGGCTAAACAAGATGCAGCCCGCGAACCCGAATGCAGTCACGTAGAGCACTTTTGTGAAACAAGGTATTTGAACAGTCTACATTTTCCCCCTGTTACCGTACCAGTGCACTGTAGACTGTGAAACGCGGAAGAGTGTAGAAGGAGGGTAAAGTGTAAAGTGTGGAGGGAGGAGTGTAAAGTGTAGAGTGTAGAGTGTAAAGTGGAGGGTGTAAAGTGTAAAGCGTGGAGTGTGGAGTGTAAAGTGTAAAGTGTGGAGTGTAAAGTGTGGAGTGTGGAGTTTGGAGTGTTGAGTGTGGAGTGTAGAGTGCGGAGTGTGGAGTGTAGAGTGTGGAGTGCAAAGTGTAGAGTGTAAAGTGTGGAGTGTAAAGTGTGGAGTTTGGAGTGTAAAGTGTAGAGTGTGGAGTGTGGAGTGTAAAGTGTGTAGTGCGGAGTGTAAAGTGTGAAGTGTGCAGTGTTGGAGTGTAAAGTGTAGAGTGTGGAGTGTGAAGTGTGGAGTGTGGAGTGTAGAGTGTGGAGTGTAGAGCGTGGAGTGTAGAGCGTGGAGTGTAAAGTGTAGAGTGTAAAGTGTGGAATGTAAAGTGTGCAGTGTGAAGTGTAAAGGGTGGAGTGTGGTGTGTGCAGTGTAGAGTGCGGAGTCTGGAGTTTAGAGCACGCAATGCGACACGTCTGAAGTGCTGCGCCTGCCACGAAAACTGCAACTCATCTTGTGAAAACGACGCAAAAGTATTGCGTGTGCCACACAAAACGACTTTAGACACGTTACCAAACAGGTTGGAGTGTCACAAAGTGGAAACGAGCATTTCGTGCGAGACTTCCTCCAATTTTCATACTTTGTAGCCTCAAAATCGACGTTTGCGAGGCTTCCGTCAAGTTTCATCACATCTCACAAAATGCCACGCCTGCCACGAAATTTGCACCTTGTCGCCACTTCACGCAGCCCTGACACTGCGAGTCGCAAAAAACACGCAACACGACACGTCTAAAGTGCTGCGCCTGCCACGCAGAATGACGATGGACACGTCCAAAGTGCTGCGCCTGCCACGAAAACTGCAACGCATCTGAAAACGTCGCAAAAGTATTGCACCTGCCACGCAAAAAACGACTTTCCACACGTTACGACACACGTCTGAATGTCACGAAGTGCCATGCCTGCCACGCGAAACGAAGCAACGCGGCGTTTCAAACCTCCAAAAATGACCCCTCGTGCAGAACTTAACACGGCCGTATACTGCCCTCACGCGGACGGTTGCAGACAGTTGCGGACGGTTGCGCGGCGTCGAGCGAACACAGCCTCAACCCCAGACCCCCAGAGTGAAACGGGAACCTTGCTACGCATCCGGGAAAAAAACCATTCTCCGGGACCCCACACATCCAAGCATGCGCCAATAATTCTCTCCATGCCATGCCCATGCGCAGCCACTAGGCCGTGCTCCAAGCGTCCTCGGTGTACCACCTACCACTCGAAGAGGTGGATGTGGCAAAGCCGCAGCTGGTGACGTTGATCGAACATCCCAGTCAGCTCTTAGCAGATGCTGGGTGAAGCGTTGGGTTTCAACCAGCCCCCCTTTCAAAGGCGGCCAAAATAAAATTGGTGATTTCAACATGATTAACCATGCAAAACGTCTCTTTTTCCTTCAAATATATGAATCATGGACATGAGTTTTTCCAAACAATGGATTGAGGATGGTAAATTGTGATAGATTGATGGGATATGATGGGATCATGTTGGGTAAAGCAATGCTTTGACCCAACAACACCCAAAAAATTGAAGAATTGGGGATCTATCATGGTTTTGGGGAATGTCCCAAAGCTGCCATTGCAACAGGGAAACCACTATTTTAGAGCACCGTATTTTCGGACAATCCAATCTGAGCAATTTTCAGGCAAGATTTATGGTTAAAATTGGTGATTAAGTTATACCAGCTGGTGTCATATGGATTGCAATCTTCATCAGCCAACCTGTACCTTAGGTGATGGCAGAAAATTTTGGGCACAACACCATGGATGATGGCTAGAAAGGGAGCCCAATTCCGGCTCAATGACATTTTCATAATCATAGACCCAACAATGCCTTTGGGGCCTTGACCATATTATGAAATGATACGAATCATTTGGCCAGACCCCCTGATTCGCCGCCTCTGGGCCACAAGGAGATATGGTACGAAAGCACTCGGGTGGCCGTGATGGCGGCTTTGATGCACCTGGCTGTTTGTGTCATTGCAGTCTTGACGATGGCAACAGCTACGGCCTACGGAAGGAAACTGAAAGATTCGCTTTGAGAAAAATGGGGCGGAACAAACTGGTGACAAATCTGGTTAGCAAAATGGGATTTAACCATCAAACAGTGGGGGGGTTTATTTAAACTCAAAAATGAAGGCCTCACAATGATGACTAGGATTTGATTCATGAATGATGGGTATAGGTTTGCCGAAGGGAAAGTGATGATCAACCATCAAATTCTCAGGCACCATATGTTCGGACAAAAATGAAATTCGATGGACCGTTTCTATTATTTGGAAAAGTAGCAAGACAGCTATCCAACACCTTGTATCATCACAATTAACCTAGCCCCACCGTTGTCCAGCACCTGCACCTGAATTCCCCGTGTGTGGAAGAGTGTGTGAGCAGCAGTTGGGCAGGTGAACAGTTGCAGATTTGAACCATGGTAAAGTCTTAAGTTGGTTACTTTTCATAATTTCAATCTATATGTCAAGCATGTTCTCAAGCATGTTTTTTGAACATGTTTCGAACTATTTAATTTGACCTTTTAATGTTTGGCTTAGCACCCTGGTGCCAGCAGCTCCATTTTGGCTCGCGTCTTGACGCGTGGGCACCATGATGGTGCCCAGCGGCGGTTCGCCGCAGGCGCCCGGCGGGGCGCCCGGCGGAGCGCCTGGCGGAGCGCCTGGCGGAGCGCCTGGCGGAGCACCCGGGGGCGCGCCTGGAATGCCTGGCATGCCGATGACAGGCGGAGCGGAATTGGTGTGAGATGAGCACCCAAAAATATCAACAATTTGTACCATATTGATCCATATTGAACATATTTGGATAAACTTTAGATATATTTAGGAAATTTCATTTGAGCGGTTTGGACAACTATATGGGTGCCTCGGCACTGTTTACATCAACCTTCGGTACACTGATACAGCATACAACCAATATCCCAAGATGGGTAGGGGCCAAATCATTGGAGTATCAATGGCGCACTAAATTGGTGATTTAGAATATTGATAGCCCAATTTTCATTTATTTTCATCCATGTTTGATCCCTAATATTTTGATCTATATTTTCATTTATTTGGAATATTGATTTTAGGTTTTGATGATTTTGAACCATTCCCAGATTACTTTATCCACTTTATCTTGTTAGATTCTGTTCCCCAAAATTTCGGCAGCCATCAAAAACTCCCATTTGAAAAGATATTCTTTGCATGCCCACAAGTACCTACTGACTGTACAGGTGCGGCCAAAAAAAAATCATATTCTCCAAACCGATTCTACGAAACAAAGACTTTGCAAATTGCAGACTGAAATGCCAATTAGTTTATCTTCTAACACCCCAAAAACAAACAAACAAATGATCCCCCTAGGAATTTCCTCTGCAGTATGGTGGTATATGGTGGTCGTTAGGGTTCACATCTCCCGGAGGTGGTATGGCTGGCTGCCCCAGCTGCCCAAGCTGCCCGGGCATGGGGTGCATGAACGGCGCGCGGCCCAACGGTCCCAATGGCGGGATGGGGATGATGCCTGGAATGCCCAGCATGCCAGGCCTGGGGACACCATGGCAGGAAAAATGGATGATGTCTTTTCAGGGTTATAAACTATCAATATGAGATATGAGATCCAATGTTACTTAGGGATGAGGTGTTATTTCTAGTTTCTAAGTGGTGAAACTCCAGGGGAGTCAATTATCAATACGAATCATGACAGATTCGACAGATCTATCAGGGTGGTTCTCACAAAAACCTTGAAAGAGTTTCGGGTTCTTGTTGAGTTTGCCGCATGGTGAAAGAACACATGACAATAAAAGTCATACAAGATTTGGCAATGGAAAACTCATGGGAAATCATGATGAATATGACAGGGAAACTACTGGATTTCTACAAGTCAGATACCATCATTTAACATAGCGACATAGCTATGGAACATGGCCTATTCAGTTTGATGAGACACATGATGATTTATATACCTATTAAAAAGTTGTGTTTTCCAGGAAACGGCTCAGTTCTTATCCCTTCACCAGGTATGCCAGGGATGATGCCGTGCATGGGCGGCATGGGTGGCAATATGCCTGGCAACACCATGCCTATGGGCGGGATGCCAGGCCTGGGGCTGCCCCCATCTTGCAGATCTTGCAGTATTTAACAGCCACAAGTTGGGGTTCCCAAGATAGCTAAGTTGACACACTTATATAACTTGGTTAACTATGGTTGAGTTATAACATGTTATAACTACACTTGATGGGGGTGATAAACCAGCTTATAACTGTGGGGTGCCACCTTGCAAACATCGTACGCCTGAATGACCTAATGACGCTTTCCCCCTTTTGCGATGATACTCTTTGCTATACCACAGGAAATTGGTGCTTAGGCAATACTCTCCTTGAACCATCTTTTTCTGCATTCGCTCATCTTTTCTCATCTCTGACTCCCAGGCATGATGGGTGGCATGAACACTATGATGAACCCCATGATGTTCATGATGATGCAGCAGATGCAGCAGCAGATGCAGAAACAGGGCGCTGCTGGTGCTGCAGGCGCTGGCTCCAGTAGCAAGGCCGAGAGCCGGCCAGATCCAGGGAGGCCCACATTTGAACCGGATGATGATGATGCCATTGACCCTGATGTGCAGGAACTCTGCGAATCTTGGCCTATGGAAAAAGATCTGGGAAAAGATGTTTGAGTGTGGAAAGTGGCATTTGGGTTGGCACATGTTTGGCCAGTGAGAAGGTGATGGGTTCGAGGGTCTTAAATTCGTGTTTTCCATCCATGTCAAGTTTATATAAGTTCATGGCAACAGCTGGCTCTAGCTTGAGCCCGGATCTTGAGGGTAAGACATTGTGGCGGAGACACGTCACATGAACTTAGCCTCTAGTAATCAAACATGGTTAGCTGGATATGTTGCTATTTCTAGATGATTTCCCAGCTATAAACGTCATAAACCTTCATCTATCTCGGATTTCCAGCCATGTTTGATCACCAGAGGGTCTCATTTTCATTGGTGTCGGACCCCGAGACGGCCCGGACTCGGGATGGTCCAGTGGAAGATGGTGGGTATATACAATCCCATCCTTCGAGAAAATATGGAACAAATGCACACACCCCATGGTTGGATGTTCTAAATGGTTCCAAAAAATGATGGTTTCACATCTACAAAACCCATGGGTTTCTGACAAATTTTCATAGACTATTCGGGTATATTAGGGGGGTACCCTCTGGTAATTTGTTACATAACTATGGAAAATCACCATTTTCAATGGGTAAATCCACTATTTCTATGGTCATTTTCCATAGCTATGTTGACATAACCAGAGGGTAAAATCCCAGTAAATCCCATGAACAACCACCATTTTCCTATGGTTTTTCTATGGTTTTCCCATGAAACCACCATTTTCCTTTGGTTTTTCGATGGTTTTCCCATGAAAAACCACCACTTTTTTGCCCGGGAGGTTTTTCGGGTACCAACCGTCGATGTCATCGTCGTTACGTCGGTACCGCTGTGCGACGAGGATTATTTCAACATCGAGGATCGATGGATCAAGAGACTCAATGAGACCATGAAGACGCCTGGTTTAGCTGCGGTTATGGCATACCCTCTGGTGAACTAACAAATAGCTATTGAAAATGGCCATTTATGGTGAGTTTTCCCATGAAAAATGGTGGTTTAATGGGAAAACCATGGGAAAACAATCGAAAAACCATAGGAAAATGGTGGTTTAATATGGGATTTACTGGGATTTCAGCCGGCCTGGTAAATTCACATTTTGCGAACTGGAAAGATCCACCATTGTTGATGGGAAAATCCACTATTTCTATGGTCATTTTCAATAGCAAACTGTTAAATTACCAGAGGGTATGTCTCAGAATAAAAAAATCTGAGGCCGATACGAACGCACGTGAAAGCACCGAACACTAATTGAAAAACAATGAATACCAATGAAACAATATGAAACACTAATATGGAAGAACTGTTGTTTTTTTGTTCTCCAGGTTTGTTGCCAAGCGGGTCAATGGCAGCTTCGGAATGTCATGTTGCCATCATTTCCCAGCTGAGTTGGTTGACTTAAACATATTTCAGAGCTCTTCAGATAGGTGGAAAGCCAACGCATTCCTGGCATTCCTTCAACGTTTTTCCTGCTGGGGACTTGCGTTCCACGGTGATTTTTGTTTGGTTTTGGGGTGTGTCACGCATGGTTTGGCCCAGGAAGCGTCAAGACACGAAAGCAGAAGATCTGGAAAAACTCTACGAGACCTGGAAAAGCATCCCCAGGGGCCCTGGGACTGGGATCATGCCAATGGCCGCCAATGGCTTGGCCAATTGTGTATGTTCGTTGTTAATCCAGCATGTGCCTATTCTATGTCCAATGTATTTCTATGCACTGTATTATATTATATTATATTATTATATCCTGTCCTATCCTATCTATTGTTAATTTTATGCTTTTTTTTTAATTGGTTAAATGCATGTATTTGTCCATTATATCCGCAATTTGTTCTCTCATGTTTGTTGGCTAAATCCACAGTTTGGGGTCAATGGTTTAGCCAAATCAATAGTTCAACATCCGCTTGCCATTTTTCAACACATGCAAAATCAATGGGTATCAATGGTTCAACATCAACATTCCTGTTTTGATTATTTAAACTATTTACATTCCAGTTTTTTTTAAACATATAGTTACTGGGTCAACCCTGAAGGGATAGTTAAATATTTTAACGCTATACAATGTGACTAGAATGGACTAGATGCCAGCTTAAAGCTTATATCTAAGATCATATACCAGTGTTCATTCATTAGATCCCCATTTTTGGTTAAGTCAGCTTTTTTCTCCCATTTTTGATAGATAAACTCCCAATTTTGATGGTCAAATCACAATTTTTCACCATGTTTGATGGTTAAAACCAAATGTTTAAACAATTTTTTGATGGGTTAAATTCAATTTTTTCACCGTTCACACCGTGCTGACGATAGCGGATAGCGGAATTTTTCACATGTTCCTTTGCAGATCCTAAGGAGACCTTAGAGCGCGCGCGGTCCCCCACGGGCCTTCTCACAGTGGCGTGGCATTATGACTGGGAAATGATGAGGGGCATTAGTTAGTGATGGTATACCTAAGAATATAATTAACATCATAATCTATCTGTAATGGTAAATTCTTAATATATACCAGCTAGGAAAAGCTAGTAATATATCTAGTAGTAGTTGCTGTATGTTCCTATAGCTAGTAGCTAGATCTAGCACTCGTATCAGCATAACTTTTCGGGCCATGACACGTCTCTTCCGGGATCCCAAGGTGAAGATTGGCGAAATGGAAAGCGGCCGCTTCATTGGCAAGGTGAAGCCGGACAAGGTCCGCCAGCTGTTTGGAGCTGTTGCTGGCGGAAATCCTTCAGTGTCAATGTTGATTGCTACACCATGTTGGTGTCGGACAAATTAAGTCATCTAGGTATATATATATATATATAGACCATGGTTATCCATGGTTTCTCCGAACTTCGGCCATTCCCCAGCGCCCCAGCGCCCATCTCCAGGAAGTGGAGCGCCTGGCGCGGAAGTTTCGTTTGGACGACCCGGTGGCCTCGCGCTTCACAGAGCTGATCCACCGGCGGAAGAAGGATGGAGAGATTGATCGCATGCACAAGGAGGGCCGGGGGGTAGCCGGCAACGTGTTGCCAAAAAGGCCAAAAAGGGCAGGGAACAAATTGGTCAGTTAAGTTCAATAAAAATTACCAGTTGCAATTCAGTTAAGTTCAACAAAAATGTCAGAAAAGCAACTGGTAATTTTTTTGAACTTAACTGAATTGCACCCAACACTTAAAGAAGAACATGTGTCCAACTTCGGAGCAGCTTAAGCGACAAATGGTTGGATGGGAATGGAGTGAAATTTACCCTCTGCTAAACGTTTACAAAAAAATATGGGAATATGGGAAAATCACAATGTTGAAATATTTTGAATGGGTAAATCAACTAATTACAAATGGCACTTTTCAATAGCTGCGTTAGATTACCAGAGGGTACCAACCAGAATGGGTTTGTGGTAGGTATGTCTATAGCTTGCGGGCTCTATGAATCAACGGTTTCAAAACGGGAGATGCTATGGGGATGACTCTATGGGTTTCGCAGTAAAGACTCGGAGGGATAGGTGGCACCATAACTGCAGCCCCAACGGCCATGGGTTAATGGTGATTCAATGGGATTTCACCTGCCAAAAACCGGTAAACCAACCATTGTATTCTGACATGTATGTGTAGATATATATATATATATGTATTTATTTATTTATTAATTGTTTTTTATTTATTTATTTGTTTATTTACAATTATATTTATATTGTCCTGATTTCGCTTGTCACAGCTGAGATTTTGAATTCATTCCGAACATTTGCGTTGGCCGCAGCGAGAGCTTCAGGTTGCCAAGAGCAAAAAAAATGGTGGGATATTTTTGGGACACAATCAACACAGTACAAGCCGCGGTGCCCGAAAATTATCGTGAACGCTCAGTTGGTTCACAACATTTCACAACGATCTGAGATGATTGATGTTTATGGCTACATCGAACACAATCGAACCATTTCACCGGGGTATCACTTTTTCATGGAAGTGCAGATTGGAACCATTTGGATGGCACTTCAGAAAGGTATAAAAAAGGGGGTTCAAGAGTTACAGTATTTTTGGGGTACCCCAATTTATGGATGGTTTATTTTATGGAACATTCTTTAAAAATGGATGATTCAGGGGTACCCGCATGATTTCGATAACTTTCATATCAAGCCCACATATAAATGTGTTTCCCTTTTTCTTTTTGAGGCTCTCAGAATTGTTTTCTGGGAAAACCCGCAGTATATCCCCTTTTTGTTGCTGGATATTGATGTACCATTTTCCTGTAGATTTTCCAGTACAAACAGGATCTGAACACCATCGAGCAACACCTACGACATTGCAAGCGAGCCAATGCCCTCGCCACCCTTTTGGTGGGAAAACTCTTGGAGGCCTCCGAAAAATTTGGATCTGTGCTTGAGAAAAGCCATCGGGCTGGAGCTTTGTTCTGACAGTCCTGTCATGTTCTTTTACATAGGATATGGGTGAAGAATTTTGGATGTGATGATGACCACAATCTGACCGAAGGGTATGCCAGGGGGAATCTCCAACTCTGGACATGCACGCCATGCAGCAGTGAAAATTGCCCAGCCTTTTGGCAACTAGGGATACATCAACCTCCAAAAGGACATATTCTTCAGGATTCAATACTTTGTTCTCGATTTCCAATATTATCCAATTTGCTCAAGGGTAGGGCCACCAGTTGCCCTTAGACATGGCAATCGGCCATGGAAAGCTCGGTGGTTTCCGTCCCTGTTTCCGTGGGCTATCTACTATCTTCCTTGGTTCACCCACCAGTTTTGTTGCTTAGCATCCTTCATTTCTAGGTTAATCTTAGATGGATACTTGAATCCGCTAGTCTTTTGGTATCAAAGGGAATATCTACGTTCACCAGCAAAGAATTTGTCATTTTTGCAGGGTATCTAAGATTGGCAATGATTTCTTGCAAAATCCAAGAACATATTTCCTGGTTGAGTTCCTATGTTCACTTGTTTCATACATTCTGGTAAATTAACATCGCGAACTGGAAAATCACCATCTTACTAGGTAAATCAACTATACCATAGGCCATCGTCGATAGCTACGTTAGCTTACCAGAGGGTATCATTTGTTGTCTTCGTGATCTCCACAGGGCGAAGTGGACGAGCTTCCAGATCTCACGGAGGCGGAACAGGTCATGGAAAAGTGACCAGATCTCAAGGGGCTTGGAGAAGAATTGGGAGGTTTCCTAAGTCATGGGGGGAAACCATGGAAAACCCTAGAATAAACTTATCATGACTGGGGATGGTTTATATAGCCCATTTATGGTTTAATAAACTTATCATTAGGGGTAGACCTTCGGGAAGGGTAGTTCGATCATGTTTATTTGCCTCAATTCGTGGGGAAATCTACGGTTGAGACCTCTTTTTTGTCATCTATACAAGGTGGTGCCCCATAGTTAGCTAAGTTGGTTTATAACTCCAATAACTATGGTTTATAGTAAATAAATATATATATATCTACTTACTATATCTTACTATGATGGTTTATACACCAACTTAAAACTGGGGGGCGCAACCTTGTATGGGGTAAAAAAAATGATTTCCATTGGTTTCCTGTAGATATTCCCTGAAACCAATCCAGACATTCACAGAACCTACGCCATGGCCATTTTGACGAGGGTATTATTAATTCATCGGATGCACATTTTTTTCTACTTGAAATTAGGTTTGAAATCGCAAATCAGATAAGATGATATACATAGACGACATAAATGTATGCGCACTGGCCATATGTAATATTGTCTATGTACTGAACGCGCTCTTAAAATGACCCACAAGGAATCTACAATCCCTGTAGTTTCAATACCCATGACGATCCGGCGATCCGAGAATCTCCAGGTACCGCTTGGACGAGGATGCCAAGTCCAAACTGCGCGAGATCATCGAAAAACGCGCGGAGGACAAGGATCAAATCCTGGCCGCTTCGGCTGAAGCGCAAGGTGGCTTTTGTTGGTTTCAGGTCATCTGAAAATTTTAATGTATATAGTATGATGTAATACGTATATAAATGATCAAAAGATGAAATTCAGGTATAATGATAATATATATATATATATGCGTGAATTAATAGAGACACGATGTCCCCATACGATATGAACTGGTTGAAAACTCGCCTGACCCAGGTTGCCAGGTTGGAACCCCTTGGGAGCACGGTTTAGATGTCAAAATAGGTCGCAGCATAGCCAGAAAATTTCTATACATATTGCCCTCTGGTAAACTAACATAATAGCTATTGAAAATGGCCCAGTCGAAATAGTTGATTTACCCAGCTATAAAATGGTGATTTTCCAAAGTTATGTTCAAAGGAAGTTTAGTGGGAGAAACTTCCGTGTTACGGACTTTTAGAATGTCAGGGAAAGAGTTAGTCAAAGAAAGAGTTAGTGAGGGAAAAAGTTCGTCAAAGAAAGAGTTAGTCAAAGAAAGAGTTAGTCAAAGAAAGAGTTAGTGAGGGAAAGAGTTTGTCAAAGAAAGAGTTAGTCAAAGAAACAGTTAGTCAGGGAAAGAGTTAGTCAAAGAAAGAGTTAGTCAAAGAAACAGTTAGTCAAAGAAACAGTTAGTCAAAGAAAGAGTTAGTCAAAGAAAGAGTTAGTCAATGAAACAGTTATTAGTCAAAGAAACAGTTAGTCAAAGAAAGAGTTAGTCAACGAAACAGTTATTAGTCAAAGAAACAGTTAGTCAGGGAAAGAGTTAGTCAAAGAAAGAGTTAGTCAAAGAAACAGTTAGTCAAAGAAACAGTTAGTCAAGAAAGAGTTAGTCAAAGAAAGAGTTAGTTAGTCAGTTAATCAAAGAAAGAGTTAGTCAAAGAAACAGTTAGTCAGGGAAAGAGTTAGTCAAAGAAAGAGTTAGTCAAACAAAGAGTTAGTCAAAGAAACAGTTAGTCAGGGAAAAAGTTAGTCAAAGAAAGAGTTAGTCAAAGAAACAGTTAGTCAAAGAAAGAGTTAGTCAAAGAAAGAGTTAGTGAGGGAAAGAGTTTGTCAAAGACAGAGTTAGTCAGGATATATGAGGTAGTCAAAGAAAGAGTTAGCAAAGAAAGAGTTCGTCAGGGAAAGGGTTAATCAAAGAAAGAGTTAGTTAGGGCATTGATTGTTCCCGCAATGCAAATGGGATTGCAAGTGGTGCTGCCGGATGAGTTGCCGATGGAGTTTTGAAGGAAGTCTCGCACGAAATGCGTTTTTGAGAGATAGCAGATGCACGAAACCCTATGTTTTTCCATACAAAGTGTGTCCCCGAACCTCGATGATCTACCTCTGCGGTGCGACGGGTGCGAGACGGTCTCGTGTGTGGTCGGATCATCCTCGGATCGGTCTCGGATCATTCTCGGATCGGTTCCGCATTGTAAATGGGGTGTCAACTGTTTTTCGTGCATGTGTGGTCGACAGAATTCCATTGTGATTTGCAACTGTAGGATCGTTCCCGCATTGTAAATGGGGTGCAAGTGGTGCTGGTGGATGAGTTGCTGATGGAATTGCATTGTGATTTGCAACTCTAGGATCGTTCCCCTACTGTAAATGGCATTGCAAGTGGTGCTGGTGGAGGAGTTGCCGATGGAGTTTGGAAGGAAGTCTCGCACGAAATGCGTTTTTGAGAGATAGCAGATGCACGAAAGCCTATGTTTTTCCATACAAAGTGTGTCCACGAACCTCGATGATCTACCTCTGCTGTGCGACGGGTGCGAGACGGTCTCGTGTGTGGTCGGATCATGTTCGGATCATGTTCGGATCGGTCTCAGATCATGCTCGGATCGGTTCTGCATTGCAAATGGGGTTTCAACTGTTTTTCGTGCATGTGTGGTCGACAGAATTCTATTGTGATTTGCAACTGTAGGATCGTTCCCGCAATGTAAATGGGATTGCAAGTGGTGCTGGTGGATGAGTTGCAGATGGAATTCCATTGTGATTTGCAACTGTAGGATCGTTCCCGCAATGCAAATGGCATTGCAAGTGGTGCTGCCTGATGAGTTGCCGATGGAGTTTTGAAGGAAGTCTCGCACGAAATGCGTTTTTGAGAGATAGCAGATGCACGAAACCCTATGTTTTTCCATACAAAGTGTGTCCACGAACTTCGATGATCTACCTCTGCTGTGCGACGGGTGCGAGACGGTCTCGTGTGTGGTCGGATCATGTTCGGATCATGTTCGGACCGGTCTCGGATCATGCTCGGATCGGTTCCGCATTGTAAATGGGGTTTCAACTGTTTTTCGTGCATGTGTGGTCGACAGAATTCCATTGTGATTTGCAACTGTAGGATCGTTCCCGCATTGTAAATGGGGTTGCAAGTGGTGCTGGTGGATGAGTTGCAGATGGAATTCCATTGTGATTTGCAACTGTAGGATCGTTCCCTCAATGTAAATGGGATTGCAAGTGTTGCTGGTGGATGAGTTGCCAATGGAATTCCATTGTGCTTTGCAACTGTAGGATCGTTCCCGCAATGTAAATGGCTGCGTCAAGGTTGCTTCGTGCTGTGGCTGCATTTGTCATACTATTGTCTTTTGCAGCTGGACTTCGTAAATCGTATTGGAGTGGCTGCATGAAGGCTGCGACAGTGATTTGTCAGCAGATTTTCTCCATTTTGGCGCTAGTGATTTTCCTTCTAAAAATCTTTTAAAAAAGTGCTTCAAAATCGTCTTTTTTTCGCTCTGGCGTCGAGATCCGGTTTTGGAGCTACAATTTCTGACGCCGTTGCGCGTAGTTCTATTGTGTTTTGCAACTCAGTCTCCGCAGATCGCATTGTAATGGCTGCGTCAAGGTTGCTTCGTGCTGTGGCTGCATTTGTCATACTATTGTCTTTTGCAGCTCGATCTCGTAAATCGTATTGGAGTGGCTGCATGAAGGCTGCGACATGGATTTGTTAGCAGATTTTTTCCATTTTGGCGCTAGTGATTTTCCTTCTAAAAATCCTTTTAAAAAGTGCTTCAAAATCGTCTTTTTTTCGCTCTGGCGTCGAGATCCGTTTTGGAGCTACAATTTCTGACGCCGTTGCGCGTAGTTCTATTGTGTTTTGCAACTCAGTCTCTGCAGATCGCATTGTAATGGCTGCGTCAAGGTTGCTTCGTGCTGTGGCTGCGTTTGTCATACTATTGTCTTTTGCAGCTCGACTTCGTAAATCGTATTGGAGTGGCTGCATGAAGGCTGCCACAGTGATTTGTCAGCAGATTTTCTCCATTTTGGCGCTAGTGATTTTCCTTCTAAAATCCTTTTAAAAAGTGCTTCAAAATCGTCTTTTTTTCGCTCTGGCGTCGAGATCCGGTTTTGGAGCTACAATTTCCGACGCCGTTGCGCGTAGTTCTATTGTGTTTTGCACCTCAGTCTCTGCAGATCGCATTGTAATGGCTGCGTCAAGGTTGCTTCGTGCTGTGGCTGCATTTGTCATACTATTGTCTTTTGCAGCTCGATCTCGTAAATCGTATTGGAGTGGCTGCATGAAGGCTGCGACATGGATTTGTTAGCAGATTTGTTAGCAGATTTTCTCCATTTTGGCGCTAGTGTTTTTTTGTTGCACGTAGGTTTAGAGCAGTGTGAAGTGTGGGGCGTGAAGAGTGCAGTGTGAAGTGTGCAGTGTGAAGGAAGCAGTGGGAAGTGGGAAGTGTGAAGTGTGGAGTGTGAAGTTTAAGTTTGGAGTGCGAAGAGCGCAGTGTGAAGTGTGAAGTGTGAAGTGTGAGGTTTGGAGTGTGAAGGAAGCAGTGAGAAGTGTGAAGTGTGGACTGTGAAGTGTGAAGTGTGAGTGAAGTGTGGAGTGTGAAGGAAGAAGTGAGAAGTGTGAAGTGTGAAGTTTGGAGTGTGAAGTTTGGAGTGGGAAGTAAGCAGTGAGAAGTGTGAAGTGTGGACTGTGAAGTGTGGAGTGTGAAGTGCGAAGTGAGAAGTGTGAATTTTGGAGTGTGAAGGAAGCAGTGAGAAGTGAGAAGTGTGAAGTGAGAAGTGTGAAGTGTGGACTGTGAAGTGTGGAGTGCGAAGAGCGCAGCGTGAAGTGTGAAGTGTGAAGTGTGATGTTTGGAGTGTGAAGGAAGCAGTGCGAAGTGTGAAGTGTGGACTGTGAAGTGTGAAGTCTGAGTGAAGTGTGGAGTGTGAAGTGCGAAGTGAGAAGTGTGAAGTGTGAAGTTTGGAGTGTGAAGGAAGCAGTGAGAAGTGAGAAGTGTGAAATGTGGAGTGTGAAGTGTGAAATGCGAAGTGAGAAGTGTGGACTGTGAAGTGTGAAGTGTGAAGTTTGGAGTGGGAAGGAAGCAGTGAGATGTGAGAAGTGTGAAGTGTGGACTGTGAAGTGTGGAGTGTGAAGTGCGAAGTGAGAAGTGTGAAGTTTGGAGTGTGAAGGAAGCAGTGAGAAGTGAGAAGTGAGAAGTGTGAAGTGAGAAGTGTGAAGTGTGGACTGTGAAGTGTGAAGTGTGAGTGAAGTGTGGAGTGCGAAGTGCGAAGTGAGAAGTGTGAAGTGTGAGTTTTGGAGTGTGAAGTTTGGAGTGGGAAGGAAGCAGTGAGAAGTAAGAAGTGTGAAGTGTGGAGTGTGAAGTGTGGAGTGTGAAGTGCGAAGTGAGAAGTGTGAAGTTAGGAGTGTGAAGGAAGCAGTGAGAAGTGAGAAGTGTGAAGTGCGAAGTGAGAAGTGTGAAGTGTGAAGCTTGGAGTGTGAAGGAAGCAGTGAGAAGTGAGAAGTGTGAAATGTGGAGTCTGAAGTGTGAAATGCGAAGTGAGAAGTGTGGACTGTGAAGTGTGAAGTGTGAAGTGTGGACTGTGAAGTACGAAGTGTGAAGTGTGGACTGTGAAGTGTGAAGTGTGAAGTGTGGACTGTGAAGTGTGGAGTGTGAAGTGCGAAGTGAGAAGTGTGAAGTTTGGAGTGTGAAGGAAGCAGTGAGAAGTGAGAAGTGTGAAGTGTGAAGTGTGGACTGTGAAGTGTGGAGTGCGAAGAGCGCAGCGTGAAGTGTGAAGTGTGAAGTTTGGAGTGGGAAGGAAGCAGTGAGAAGTGTGAAGTGTGGACTGTGAAGTG